TGATCACCCTTATTCTTATAAAACGGGATCAGGAGACTCCTTCTCCAGTCATCGGGCATTCCGTCAATCAGAATTCTGTTGAAGAGTTTTGTCAGGAACATTTAGTGTAAGTAACAATGTAGTTTTTAGCAATGGATACTGTTATTCAAGAGGAAGGATTATATATGTAATACATATACACTCGAGCGAAACCGGGCTAGATTATATATGACAAGGCTTTGTATTTAAAGTATTGCTATGCTGCGTGATGATCTAAAACTGTTGTTTTCTTTAACTGTCAGTTTACTTAGTCTAGTGAACGCCTGAGAAAATTCTCAGACTTCTAAAATTAGTTTCGTATGTTCATTGCTGTCAGTCAATCACTGGATTAGTTTCTTAATTGTTTATTTGGAGTATCTAACGGAACCACAGTTCACAGTATACATAATATATATATATATATAGACATGAATGCAATATTTTCTCACTTACGAACCACTTTATTTCTTTTTATTCGTTCCAGAATCTTATTAATATTGTAAACACGAAAGTTTGTGAGTATTGATGTATAGATGATATTGAATGAATGTAAGTTTGTTACTCTTTCACGCAAAAGCGGATTTTGATGAAACTTTTTAGTAATATAGGTTCCACATCAGAATAACACATAGGACGAAATATAATGATAAATACATGTAAGTGTGATGCAGACCAAGTGAAAATAAATAAACATTTTTTTTTATTTCAGTATAAATTGTTATTGGCATTAGTTAAAGCACAGATAACATAATATTACATATTAAAGTAAAAGCACATGCAACGACTCGTTCTTCGAAGTAACAAACACTGTATATAAACAGGGCCAGATTAACTATCAGGCAGAAAAGCCCTATGGGCTCCGCAATGCCTAAGGGCAGGAGGCAAAGGGTTCTAAAAATTTCCTTTGCTTTTAATGTTTTATACAGTAAAAATATATTTCTATTTGAATTCTCAATGACAGTCGGTATTGTTTTATTGTTTTGTTGCACCGCAAGCATTGATGTTGATGAACTACTTCCATCCTATTTAATACAGAGAACTCTCTAGGATAATATTAGAACTAATATTGTAAATGTGTTTGTGTTCAAGCAGTATTCTAAATTTCATCAATATAAGTACAAAATAATTTTCAGTATTATTTTCCCGATTTTGATTGCGTTGCAATTTCTTATTGTAATCCATCCCTTATAAGGACAGAATTACAGAACAAAATTCAGGAAGTGCCTCATGGCGCTAATGTAACTATACTGGAGACTCGGATATGAATCTATAGTGAAGTTCCTTACACGGAAATAATGCATCCGCTCCCCTTACTCAACAGCTTACAATCCAACAGAACATTTATGGAGAGTGAGAGTGTAATTAACTCTTTATAATAGATAAGTAATCTGCCTATGGTAAGAAAATAAAAAAAAAGATGGTAGGACGAAGTGGATTTGGGTTTGAAAAACAATTAAAATGGCGTGTGTTTTTTAATAAATATAAAAAGGCTATTTGATTTTTAAATTGTATTTTATTCACAAGGTGTCTCACGGACGGCTCGGACACTACAGGGAGAGCCATTAAATAACAAGAATATTTGGATATATAATAATAACAAATCGATTGGAGTTTCAGATTACCAGTTTCCCATTTTTCATACAATTATGAAGAATGAGTCTCGGATTCAACAATAATAATATGCCCTTAAAATTTATTGCTATAAACACTGGAATCATTCCACGCAGAAAGCTTTTTGCAATCGAGATAAGATACGGATAAGCATTGGCTGATAGAGACGAATCAATATGCGAATAAACTGATAAAGTCCATTTGATTTCACCTACAACAAAGGTTATTAACGAAATGAAATTAGAATTAGACGAAAAGATCGCGGAGATGAAGATAATGCTTCTGTGTTTTACTACTAAAAGATCCGAGATTGTTTAAATTTACAACTGTAAACAATATAATTTTGATGTAAAAGAACAGGTATAGGTTGTCATCTATTCGTAAAGATGAGATATTATATCTACTTGTTATAGGGTCATATATTCTTTTTGCTACTTACTCTTCTGAAGGTACACAATATTGATCTACACAATTCGTAATACGAGTTATCTTATCGATGACAATGTACTTATTGTATCATCTTCAGCTCAAGAGTTCTAATAAAATTGTTGGAATTATTATACCCCTTAGACTTCTGGATTGCTCTTAGATTTGTAGAAATACTATTAAATCTAACAGAAATCAAGTCATACTATACTGAGTAATTATCTTGATTATTCTCAAGATAACTGTATTTTTCGGACCCTTTTGACACAAAGTTTGCTAGATCAATTTTCCACCTATTTCTCCAATTTTGCAAAGGTCTAGTAAGCAATCTATTTCCACCCATTTCTACAATTATGTTAATATGCCGAGAGCATTTTTCGAGCATTGTATGAGCACTTTTTCGTATCTCGACTGCATTCACGTAGTACCTATCTATCTTTTAGCTAGTCGTTACTCTTTTACAACTTATCGAAAGCTATAATCTAGCTCTTTGTTTGATTTGTTTGCACTCTTTTAGTTTATCTCTGTTTTTATAGATTCATTTGTATTTTTGTATTATTATTTGCTAAATTTCATTTGTAAACACGATACAAGTAATTCTTTTATTGCTCTTTTATCTAAACTTATTTGACTCTATGTTCTAGTTTAAATTCTACCTTCTTTGTTATTTCAGCTCTGTTTCGACTTGAACTATTGTTTTGTAATGTTTTTGTTTTAATAACAGCTACGAGCGTTCTACCTGCCTTACTCTTGGAAAATTTTTATAAAAAAAATCGACGTTACAAGACCTATATTATATTACCTTTGAATTACATATTAGGATGTTTCTAGTTTCGTATTTCGTAGTCACTGAAATAATAACGATATCAGTTTATTTAGCTCTCTTGATTGTGTTTTAGTAATTACCTAGATAGGTTTAAAATCGAAAATACAAGAATATACTAAAATATCATACAATTCTAAGCTGTAGTGCGTTCTTTCCTTTTAGTGTCTTCTTTTAACTCTTACTTTACTCTCGGGGGAAAGAGGGTTGTTGGTGTACTGGCTGTACCCGGCATTAAATTTATAGCCTATATGTTATTTTGATGTACCGTACCGTGTACAGTAAAGTTTTATCAAAATCCGTTCAGTAGTTTTTGCGTGAAAGAGTAACAAACATCCATCCATACTAAAAAACTTTGGCATTTATAATATTAATAAGATATTATACGAAAATATATAAATTTATTATTTCATACATCTTATTGTAACCTCATCGGCTACTTTGAAGATCAGGTTCAATGCAATCAGAGTGGATCTATAGATAAAGCAATAGTGGAACATAGATTATTTCTTATCAGCAAGGTTTCTAAATAATGACTCTTTTGATGCTGTGTTAGAGCACCAAAGACTGTCTCGATTATGTAGATACTGTCCTAGATACTAGTACACTTTCTAGATTTTTTTTTTATTATATATGGAATGTATATGGTAATGTATAGGTACATAATGGTATGGTGTATTTTTGTTATGATGGGATTTCTTTCAGTAAATATTTCGTGATTGCTTTGCCAATTACGTTATTTTCTGATTTTATTATTATTTATTTATTCTTAAAAAAAAATTTACTCGATGTTAGTCCTTTTTTAAAGTCCTAATCGCTTATTTAAAAATTAAACACTTCCTAAATTATACCTACCTATAAAAATATATGGATAGATATAATTAAAAAAATCATAAATTTATAATTTTTGTATAACTACTATTTATTTGCACCAAAATAATAAAAAATTATAGAAATTTTAGTTAGATATTTAAAAGACCTGTGTTAGAGTTAGTTTTATTCTACCATTCATTCGGGACGTGTAGACTCATCACAAGAAGAATGAGCAAGAAACTTGAGTGTTGCTCTTTTAAATAAATATATGAATTGAAATTATTTCCGAAAATTATCACAAGAACGGGAAATTACGGATCAAAACGGATGAAAAAGCTGAAAACAGCTGCAAATAAATTAATGACAAGATGACGGATAAAATTCTATGACCGTGAAAGAAATACCAGATTAAACCATTCAGGGTAACAACGGAATGGTTGAACAGGTTTCATTTTCATTTTATAATTTTTTTTATTGTACATTAAATGATGTTTAGATAATTATGTTTTCAACGGTTCACCATTTTCCAGAAGCTGTATTAAATATTTTTTCACCGAGTGCCTTTACATAAAGCGAATAATGCTTTTGAATCGGTTAGTAAACACGAAATTATAGTTTCTTGCGATTTGTAAATGTTTGTATGGATGATAATACATTTCTATTTATATTACAAAACGTAAACGCAAGAAACCATGAAAATACTCATGGTTTAATGTCAAGACAAAATATTTTACCGTAATTCCAGGTTTCAGATGTAACGTTGGCATATGTACGAGATACGCACAAACCACTGCACTATGTATAACAAACCGCGGTAAATAATAATTAAAATTATATTTTTTATTATTCACTGGCCGCGAATATTTCGGGCGCGAAAAATCGGTAACACCCGAGGCATGTTTCGATTGAATGTTTTGGTTCACTCGGTTTCGTTTCTCGTCAAATATAATGATCGACGTAAAATTTATAAAAAGCGCCATCTATGCAACTTCACTGAAACAACATAACTATTAAAAAAATCTGTTAATCGGTTTTGTTCAGATATTTATGTGAAAGTATTTATTAAAAGAACTAAATAATAAGTTTTTATATCGTTCCATTTCAAATTAAATGAATACATGTTTTACTATATATCAGAAAGTTAGTTGCACCTTTTTTTTACTATAATTAGTAAGAGTGACATCTGTTATCTTTCTTTGAAACTACAGAGTTCGAATTGTGCTGCTGTCGAGATCACTAAGTTTTTACGCTTGCGCACAGGAGGGGAAATCTAGTACGACTCAATGAAATATGAATAATCAGTACGCATTCGTCGATAGTGTTTAATAGTGGTGCGTACATAAAAAGATCGACAAATTAATACCGCGCTCCGGTAATAAATCGGATTTTTAAGAACATCGTGTGAGTGAATTTGTGATTGGATTTCGTGACAATGGCTAGCGCTCCAGTAAAGAAAGTGCCTATACATTTGCAGGTAAGTCTTCAACACCTGTTGTTTTTCTGTAAATTCGCAATAAAAAATAATTGAACTGGGTACTTTGCAGCTTTTATGTTTTCTTGTAGGACGTCAACCCTTTTTATTTAAAATATTCACTTAATATATGCTATTTTTATTGTAATTTATTCTGTGTGAGTCATGTATGACCTAATTTTAGCGAGTATTGTCGAGGTTGTCGGTGCTTGCAGATGGGTGTATGAATAGATTTTCCCACCGGCTTTTTTGTAGGTATTTCAGATAACGTGAAGATTTCATATTTACGGTATGAACTATCTTAATATTTCGTGATAGCTATGTATACTTCATATCGCAATTACTATTTGCGACCATTTTACTGTAGATTCCTAGGTACCTATTTACGTTACTGTAAATCGACTTTCTTTGATGGACATATTTGTCGACGAAGACGTCGCTGAATAATCACTAATTACTCATTTATAGCATTTTAGACAGATTTCATGCAATATTTTTCATGTTAATCTTGTAATATCCATTTCAGTTAGTCAAATGATTTCGAATTTCAATCCAAATTTTAGAAATAGGTATATTATATGTACTAGCAGTGACAAATAAATGAGAACATAATATAAATGAAAATGTAGGCACATAAGACGGTCTTATCGCTAATGCAATCTCTTCCAGACTCCAGACAACCTACCTACGTTCCATGAAAACACTTTTCTTCTAAATCGATCACGTGATCGCGCAGTTTATAGCAAAACCGAGAATTTAAACCTCTTATAGGTACGTTATCAGTTTCCTCTTAGCTTGTTTGGGAATGTTTTTCAGTATCATAAATACTTTCGGCTTAGTACCTAACACGTGAACATAAAACTCGACGAAGCTGGGAGTAGCACCAAGTATGAAATAAAATAATATATTACTTACTTAGGTACTATAATTAAATATTTGTTTATTTTTCTGTTAATCCTTTCAATACATATCAATAAAATAAGCACAAAACAACATAATTAACTTGTATTCTTAAAAAAATTAACATTTGAAAATTAGATCAAAAATCGATAGTAATAGTCAGTTTAGAACAAAATTATCGAAATTAATTCAGATTTTGTGAAGTTATTACGTACGTACCAATCTAAAATAATAAGTAGAACTATCTAACCACAAAAATCTCTTCCGATAACAGTTTTTTTTTCGTATAATTTAGAAAAGCGTGATGTCTTTGAAGTGTAGAGTTAGAATGTTACAGGTTACGGAAGCATGTCAAAATTCTCGAATTTCATTTACCTTTTGCAAAGTTATTACGCATCGATATAACATAATAAAATCACTACTTTTTTTTTTAGTACAGACAGTTTTGTTAATCCTGTAAAGAAAAAAATAATATGTTTATTCAACAGATAAGTTCTTTTACATTATTATAGTTATATCTTATTTATTAAGCTCTGTTAGTTTAAAAAAAATATAGAATACATAAGTGGTATTTTTGTTTTAAACAATGTTCTGTTCAATTTTTATATGATTTTCTACTTACAGTAGAAAATCATATAAAAATTGAACAGAACACATAATTCTTATTTATAATAAAAAAATATAATGGTACTTTTGATCTCAGATTTATGATTAGCATAATATCCGTCCTTGAGTGTGAATGACCTCAAAATACAGTACCTCCCTATACATATATATGTATGTTTGTTGGACCTTTGTTGCCGACTGGACGTGACATGCGCAGTGGATACAGGATTTGCTCGCTAAGGTTTGGCCCAAATGGGTGTCATCCGTTGTAATTTTTTGTCTGAGACATTAAAACTACGGTTTTTGTAATATTATCTTTGCATAATAAAATCGTAACCAGGTACAGTCAGCTACATATAAATCATATCAGTATTTTTATTTATGAATATTTATTTATTATGTTTATGTGGTTGTACTTGTGTGTACATACTGCCAATTGAATTAAAAATATAGCTGTTTGTAATTCATGTTAATGTCAATAATATATTCGCGATAAATGTGTATTATTATTATAAATGGTGCTCCCGCCTGCGCCAACGATATACGGGGGCTTGCGGGGGCAATGGAAGGTAACATGAAGTCAGGTACGGTTAACCCATCATGTGGAATTTAACACCCTGGTAAACCACGAATTAATCACAATGGTTTTCAGAGGTGCTTGGAGGTCGACCAACAGTACATTGTAAGGTCTATTACTCTAAGACTAACTATCTCCGTCCCCTAGAATGGTCAGTGTAAACAGTGTTGGATGAACTTAGCCCTTCGTGACGAATTCACTAATAATTAACCAAATTTGTTTAATGAGACACCGCGAGGAGGTCGAGCTTTAATACCACATTCTTACCTGACCACAAGTCCCTATTACCCTATTACTAACAATCCCCTCCCTTCCTATATTACTTAGTCGAATTAACAACTAACTCGCTAACATTAACCTTGAATTATAAAAATAGATACATTAACAAATGTTCAAGAGCTCAAGCTGAGCCATATGTGATAAGATTTATTATAATAATAGCGGGTCGTGTGTTTGGATATAAATATTTTAACTATTATTTATAGAAAATAAATATACTCTTAAGTATATTTGTAAACACAAGAGATTATGAAAGTTGTGCTTGACTAGTTGTAACCCGCGACGCCTATTGATTTTAATTTAATATATTTGTAATGTTGTAACTATAGACAAGACGTATGTAATTTTATTTATTGTTTAATAATTAAACGACATTAAAAAGGTCGACGATAGGCTGCATGTCGCAGCCTTTCTGCATACAAAATATGCGACTATGAATATATTCTACAATAACTAATTAAACTCGATGTAAATTTGTACATAGGATAAGGCAAGTAATAATAACGTTTCGCAACTTTCAACTTTGTCAAAATAACGAAGAAGGTACAGTAGTGTAAATACTGAAAACATTAGAAATACAGATTATTTAGTTACATTAAGAAACCTTAATATACCCTTCTGTGTGATTTTATGTTGATCTCAATAAAATAAAATATACGTTCTCTTAGTATTGGATGAATTGATCTTAATTTTTTTGCTTACCACACCCTTCCCAGAAAAGAGACCTTTTTACAGGTTTCGCAAGGTTGTGCTAAGTTCTCGGGTCTATATATGTTAGTATGTCTATACGCATATATATAGACATAAGAAACATTCTAGTTTGGCAGTTATAAAAAAACCATATCTTCTTACTGTAGTAACTAAAAGAGTTTATTAATTTAAGTATACTTGAAAACGCAAACTATGTGTTAAGTCAAGTATGAATCCTATAAGACATGGCAAGCTGATCTATTCTCGCCACAATCATGGGGGACTCTTCCCCTCAGTTCCGTACAAAGGGCCGTAAAGCATGATTTATGTATGCGTTAAAACAGGCGTTCTCATTGCAGGCCCGCTACTCACTTGACGGATGTTACATTTATAATGTTTCATATTATTATATTTATTGTACACTCTAAAAATCTGAAATGTCGTTACTCACTTTACGATAGTATATTATTTATTAAATAATAAATGCCTTTTTATTAGTATTTTTAATTGTAATGCATTAATTTATATTACCACTTAAATCATACACATTAAAATATCGTATGTGAAGTCAAATGTACCCTAAGTTCGAAGTAGTTTGAGACGAGAAGAACTGAAAAGAAACTCTGCTCTGACTGTATTTAAATTACATTTTATATTATAAAAATAATGTGTATTAAATCTCAATTAAACTAAATCAGTTTTGAATGTTAATTCGCTCAAATTTTTCAATATATTTATTTGTAATTTATAGGAAAGTTTATTGTTATTTTATTATTCGTCACAAAAGAAATAGTTAAGACGTAATATAATTAAAATATATATAATTTAATACCAATAATGTTATTTATTGTGTGTATTAATAATTATAATTAATAATAATAATAATAATATGTGCTAATATTGTACAAATATTAATAATAAAACACTTTTTAATTCAATACTACGAAGGAATCGTACGGCAAACAAGGTGTTGGATAACCTGGATATAATTAGGAACCGTCACCATAAATGCATGAATCCACGGACAATGTTATTTATTATATAATGATGATTATACATCCCATGGGATGACTTAAGTGTCGATTTCACTACCATATCTCACCTGAAACACATCACAATCATCGGTAATATAGTCACGTGGGGGGATAGGGATTGTTAGTGAAAGAAAGAAAAATGTTTTATTCAGTGCAATGTAAAAAATACAATATAAACAACAATTGAGAAAAAAAAGATCAAATAAAATGTACACGCTAGTGATATGGACTAATAACCCCATTGCTAGCAATGTCAGATTGACCTCCACGCTGTTCCCCCTAGAAACTATCGTGATAAAATTTACTATGACCTGACTTCAAGTTCATTTTATCATCCTCCACGGATGACCCATCAGCGTAAACCGTTAGCGCAGGTCGGTGCATCATTACATTATCATTTATAAAAAAATAGTCGCGTGCAGCCCGGGAATACAAAGTGTTGATTGCTACTGTCTCAGACGTAAACTGGGCGACGTGCGGTCACCACTTTTCAATATAAATCTTTGGAATGTTGCATTCAATTTACTGCAATACTTGGAAGTCTGTTTTCTAGTGTTAATGATTTTTAATTATTACGTCTGTTCGATCTCATTATGTTTTAAAAATAATTATATGTCACATGCTCTTTAATAAAATTTGTACTGTAATATGTACATCATCATCATCTGCTTCTTTTCTTATCCCATTTATTTGTGGTCGTCGTAATATGTTTTTCCCTTCAGTTCATCTCTATTCGCTATTTCGGTATTCTCATCTCGGTATTTACTCCCTTTCTTACCACATCGTCTTTCACACAGCCATCCATCTCTTTTTCAGCCTTTCTCTGCTTTTATAACCATCCACATTTTTTACTAACAATCCCCCCCCCCCTCCCTCTCTCACATAGAGTATTTGTATGTGTATGTATTTTGTATTAT